GCCCGATTAAGCCATTTAAAGTTTGTTTATTGCCCTTTGAAGTACATTTAACGCCATGTGAAGCGTGTTTAACGCCATTTGATGCGCTTTTAATGCCATTTGAAATTAGCTTAATGCCTTTTTAAGTTAGTTTAAAGCAAATTGAAGCGCGTTTAACGCCATTTGAAGCATGTTTAACGCCATTTAAAGGGCATCTAACCCTATTTGAAGCTCGGTTAACCCCATTTAAAGCCCAGTTACACCATTTGAAGAGCGTTTCATGCCATTTGAAGTGTGTTTAACGGCATTTGATGCGCGTCAAACGCCATTTCAAGAGAGTTTAACGCCATTTGATGCACAGTTAACCCATTTTGAAGCACGTTTAGCGGGATGTGAAGCCCATTTAACGACATTTGAAGCGCGTTTAACGCCATGTGAAGTCCGTTTAACGCCATTTGAAGCTCGTTTAACGCCATTTGATGCACAGTTAACCCCATTTGAAGCGCATTTAACGCCTTGTGAAGCCCGTTTAATGCCATTTGAATCGGGCTAAACACCATCTGAAGCGCGATTAACGCCATTTGATGCGCGTTTAATGCCATTTGATACACGGTTAACCCCATTTGAAGCGCGTTTAACGCCATGTGAAGCCCGTTTAACGCCATTTGAAGAGAGTTTAACGCCATTTGATGCAGGGTTAACCCTATTTAAAGCGCGTTTAACGTCATGTGAAGCCCGTTTAACGCCATATGAAGTGCGTTTCGCGCCATATGAAGCGTGTTTAATGCCATTTGAATCGGGTTAAACACCATCTGAAGCGCGATTAACGCCATTTGATGCTCGTTTTACGCCATGTGAAGCCCATTTAACGCCATTTGAAGCGCGTTTAATTACATGCGAAGCGCGTTTAACGCCATTTGAAGCGCGTTTAAAGTCATTTGAAGCACGGTTAACCCCATCTGAAGCGCGTTTAACATCATTTGAAGCGGGTTAAACACCATTTGAAGATCGTTTAACACATCTTGAAGAGCGTTTAACGCCATTTGATGCACATTTAACGAAATGTGAAGCCCATTTAACGCTATTTGAATAGCATTTAACGCCATTTAAAGGGCGTCTAACCCCATTTGAAGCTCGGTTAACCCCATTTGAAGCCCATTTACGCCATTTGAAGAGCGTTTAATGCCATTTGAAGAGCGTTTAACGTCATTTGATGCGCGTCTAACGCCATTTGAAGCACGTTTAACGCCATTTGAAGAGTGTTTAACGCCATTTGAGGTGCGTTTAACGCGATTTTAAGCACGTTTAATTCCATATGAAGCGCGTTTAATGCCATTTGAAGTTAGTTTACCGCCATTTTAAGTTAGTTTAACGCCATTTGAAACGATTTCAACGCCATTTGAAGTTAGTTTAATGCCATTTGAAGACCATTTACGCCATTTGAAGAGCGTTTAATGTCATTTGAAGTTAGTTTAATGCCATGTGAAGCGTGTTTACCGCCATTTGAAACGCATTCAACGCCCTTTAAAAGGCGTTTAAACTCATTTGAAGCACCATTAGCCCCATTTCAAGCCCCCTTACGACATTTGAATCGCATTTAACGCCATTTGAAGCTCGGTTAACGCCATTTGAAGCGGGTTTAAAGCCATTTGAAGCACAGTTAATCCCATTTCAAGCCCATTTACGCCATTTGAAGAGCTTTTAACGCCATTTAAGGGGCGTCTAAACCCCATTTGAAGCGCGTTTAACGTCATTTCCAGCACGGTTAACCCCTTTTGAAGCGCGT